TTCGAATCCCAACATGGACTTGAATTCTTTCATGGTGAGGAACTTTTTCAGCTAACTAATGGAATGTCAGTACTTTTTCTACTCGGTTGCCCATTTTGTGCTGAAAATAATGCAGGGAAGGGGCATCTGAGGTCTTCCTCCACCATTAAAGCTGGAAACTAACCATATGACCTTTATTGTGTTGTATTGTATTTCGATTCTTTTATGTGAGGAAGCTGTCAAGCTAGCTTACAGAGCGGCGGTGTTTCTACTCACTTGCCCATTCGTGCCTGAAATAATGCAAGGAAAGGCAAACCATAGGGCTTCCTCCACCAGTAAAGCTGGAACGTTGCCATATGATGTATGGTGTGATGTAAAACGCACTCAAACAAACAAACTAGCATTCTGACATACTTACATTTTCAGCAAACATTCTCAAATCCTTCTCTCTGACATAGACAAATGGTCTGATCACCCTTAAATCCCCTTCTCTGTAAAATATAACAAAACATCATTTTTATTATAAACAAATTGTCTTCTCACTCTCTGTAAAATAATATAACATATATGAGTTATATTTTGTCTTTATATAGAGTAAAATAGTACACACATCATTAATTTCAGGAATATCATGATGAAAATTGAAGTTTCTAAATTTTGATCTTGAAACCCACATAACTTTAAATGGACTGTTCCAAATTCAAAGCTGAAAAAGTCCATTAAAGATATTCAATACTAAAACAAGAGGGCCATGATGGCCCTGAGGTCACTCACCTGTATATAGGCCCCCCCAACCCCCACCCCCCACCCCAATGTTGCAGGGCCAATTTAACCAAAGGGCTTTTATTTGCACAAACTTGGTAGACACCCATAAGAAGATGTTTCATGCTAAACATCTAAGCTCTAGCTCATTGGGCTATTTAAAAGAAGATTTTTTTTTAAAGTTTTACTATACACATATAGTTAAAAACAATGACACCCCTGGGGCCAGGCCAGTTATGACCCCAGGGTTTTTATTTGAACAAACTTTGTAGACACTTACTAGAATATGTTTCATGCTTAATATCTAAACTCTAGCTATTTGGGTTTTTTCAAAGAAGATTTTTAAGTTTTTGCTATACACATATAAGAAAAATCAATGACCCCCGGGGCGGGGCCAATTTTGACCCCAGGTCTTTTATTTGAACAAACTTTGTAGACACTCACTAGAAGATGTTTCATGCTTAATATCTAACTCAAGCTATTTGGGTTTTTTCAAAAAAGATTTTTTTAAGTTTTTGCTATACACATATAAGGAAAATCAATGACCCCGGGGCGGGGCCAATTTTGACCCCAGGGCTTTTATTTAAACAAACATGGTAGACACCTTATTAGAACATGTTTGATGCTAAATATCTTAACCATAGCTCTTTGAGTTCTTTAAAAGAAGATTTTTTAAGTTTTTACTATATGCATATATAGGGAAAATCAATGACCCCCAGGGAGGGGTCAATTTTGACCCCAGGGCTTTTATTTGAACAAACTTGGTAGACACCTATTAGAACATGTTTCATGCTAAATATCTTAGCTCTAACTCTTTTGGTTCTTTAAAAGATGATTTTTAAGTTTTTACTATATGCATATAGGGAAAATCAATGACCCCCTGGGGCAGGCCAATTTTGACCCCAGGGCTTTTCTTTGAACAAACTTGGTAGACACCTATTAGAACATGTTTGATGCTCAATATCTTAGCCATAGCTCTTTTAAGTTCTTTAAAAGAAGATTTTTTAAGTTTTTACTATATGCATATAGGGAAAATCAATGACCCCCCGGGGCGGGGCCAATTTTGACCCCAGGGCTTTTATTTGAACAAACTTGGTAGAACACTTATTAGAACATGTTTCATGCTAAATATCTTAGCTCTAACTCTTTTGGTTCTTTAAAAGATGATTTTTTTAAGTTTTTACTATATGCATATAGGGAAAATCAATGACCCCCTGGGCGCGGGCCAATTTTGACCCCAGGGCTTTTCTTTGAACAAACTTGGTAGACACCTATTAGAACATGTTTGATGCTCAATATCTTAGCCATAGCTCTTTGAGTTCTTTAAAAGAAGATTTTTAAGTTTTTACTATATGCATATAGGGAAAATCAATGACCCCCCCGGGCGGGGCCAATTTTGACCCCAGGGCTTTTATTTGAACAAACTTGGTAGACACTCACTAGAAGATGTTTCAGGCCCAAATATCTAAGCTCTAGCTCTTATGGTTTTTTTTAAAGAAGATATTTAAAGTTTTTTTCTTTCGGTTTGCCATGGCAACCAGAGTTCTGCATGGAATTAAATTCTTTGAACAATTTTTAAAGGTGACCACCAAAGGAACATTCCTGTGAAGTTTGGATGAAATTGGCCTTGTGGTTTATGAGGAGATGTCATTTAAAGTAAAAGTTTACGGACGCCGGACGAAAAGCGATCACAAAAGCTCACCCTGTCACTTTGTGACAGGTGAGCTAAAAATATGGAACAGATTTGCACCAAACAAAGGTTACAACAGTTTAAACAAAATTAAATACTTACTCTACAGTGTAATTAGCCTTCATGGTTCTTAAAATGCCATTATGAAATATCGACATCAAGAAACTGCAATAAATATACAAATAATAACCATGAAAAGGGAGACAACTATGAATAAAAAATGAACATGTGAATCATAAATGGAGCAGAAATCACCTTTAGATTGAATTTACACCTTGCTTCTTAATAATGTAAAAAGAATAGCAAGCGAGTTTGTTTAAACACTAATTAATATGTTATGTTTTATGTTCCATTAAACTTACCAACTGCAGTGTTTCTTTTATCACTAATTACAACTGAAAGTTATTCATGATATGTATGCTTTTATCAGCTCACTATTCATTGTATAACAGTATCCCATTGAATTTGTTGATTTATTTCTTTATGAAAATGTAACAGAGTTATTTGCCAATCATGGGTGGTTTTTAAAAGAATTTACCTATATCTTGAAATAGACTGCATTCTACATTACAGAGTTAAGCTACACCTCAATCTAATTGCTTTAAAACATAACTGGTTTTTGAAAAATTTATCACACCTTTCACACAAGTCATCTAAATGTTTGACCTAAACGCCAGCACGTTGTATCCCTCTCTTCTAGCACAGGGCATAAATACGTCCACGTTTCATACGACTACAGAAACTACATATAGATGCACACTCGTATGGCAAGTTTGAGGCCTGCTCTAGTATACCTACAAAATATTGTATATCACTAAATCCTTATTTTTAATCAGATATGTTTATATATACATGTATATACAAGTATCAATAATGCAGTTTTCAGAAACCAATAAAATTGGTAATTAAATTTGTTAACGAACAAGAGTTTTTTTCTTATTTCATTAAAAAAATAATACAAAATGTATGTAATTAGTATTAGATCATTGATTCAAATATGATAAAATCAAGTGCTCAAGAAAGTGTTTAAAATGAATATAAAGGCACAAAAAAGAGAATCAATTAAGTATTAATGCATATTTTACTATTACAATCCTGAACATTATAATATCAGTTGCACTGCATCAACTAAACATCTACACAACCGAACAAATATGCTGGACCATAAAAGTTGCATGAATATTTGTAACTATTAAATTTTCTTAAAGTAACCTTTCCTACAATATTAGAAAAGCCTTTAAATCATACCTTGTGATTCATAAAAGTAAGGAACTCCTAGGCTGAGTAAGTACTGTTTTAAGGGACTAGGATCATAGGAAGGTGTCTGAGGATCAACAGTCAACGCACCTATATTGAACTGTACATTCTGAAATACACATACATACACTTACCGTAATATATACAGTGATGTCAATTTTTAATTTACCAAAATTGAAAAAAAAAAACTTTTTACCATCTTACTGCTTTAAAAGGGAGGTAACTAGGGAAATGGAAGACATATGATTTTTGTGTTTACCAGCAAAATCATGGCCTTTGTATTTGTCATAATTTTGTATGTGGTAGGAAGCCATTGGTACAAAATCTCTACCCTGTTCAGTATAAATTTTGTCACCTTTATGTTGTTTTACAGAAGGATCTATACTACTTTACTTTAGCAAAACTCATCTCTCAAGAAAGGAAACTATATACCTTGTATAGACTTTAAAGAATTTATAATCATTGATTCACCAGTGCCCGACGTCTAATATCCCCTTTCATACTTTTTTAATATCTATAAAAATATTTAGATTTTATTTATAAAAGGGGGTAGGGGTGGTGTTGACGTTCGGACAACCCCTTGTCATTGATTTGTAAGATAAATACCTTTCTCTTGCAGTAGAACTGATACTGTTTTATTGTGTGAAGGAGGGAGAGGGAATCTTTACCACCACTGAGACAAACCAATACATTATCTCCATCTTTTATCATCTCATATTCCTCTAATGCCTAAAACATACAAACAAAACATATACAATAACGGAACATATGCAATGGTTAGCTAAACATTTAACCAAAGTTATTTGCACATACTTTGTTACATTGCTTAAGATATATTCAAAATCTGTACATATCTAAATTTTTGTTTTTTCCCTGTTTTTGGAAATGCTATGAGAAGTTTCTTCACACCATAATGATCATTTTTAAATGCAAGTTAACATTTTTTTTTTTTTGAAGAAAACTTTACAAGTTATATCTATCTATAAACAAGTACATGTAGACAGTCATTTCAGACCGGACAAGCATGAAAGGCATTTTGAACAACCGGTGTCATATTCCTCACAAAGTTAAAGAGTTTTGGGTTGTTTGGAAATGATAAGTTTAATGTCAAATTTTCCTCACAATGTATCAAATTTTTTTTCAGTGAAAACATTTTCTTAAAATGAAATTTAATTAACTTTTAACCTCATTGAAAATTCCAGCTATTTTAAATTATTATAGCCAAATATTCATATCTAAATTGCGAGATATATCTAGTAAAATTTATCTGAGAAAATTCACAACCATACCTTTAGAAATGGTGTAAAAATTGTCTTTGGTGGTGAAAACCATCTTGTCCCCTCTTTCTTAGTCTTACTTTTTCTTCCACTATGTTTCTTATCTTTAACATTCCCTCCTGCAGCGTTTTCACCAACTTTTCCATCTACATATACTTCAACTTTTGTTCTTTTCACCGATAGTGTACAAACCGAACCAATACACTCAGTTTCTGCTGGTCTTTTCCTACATAAATTAGTGTTTTCACACAGGTTTGTATCACATTTATTAATTCTTTTCTGTGAGTCTCCTGCCAAATCGACTCGTTTTATAGAATTGGAAGAGTCTTTATCTATATTGCAGTCCTCGTTAGCTTTACAATCTAGATCTTTATCTTGTTTAGAAACAATTTCAATCTCTTCAGAAATATCAACATCTTTATCACAAACAGGTTTGTCACCGCATGTTTTATTCACAGTGTTTGAATCACTAAAACCTTTATCCAGACAGTTTTGCAATCCTTCTGAACATGATTTTTCATCTGTCTTATTTACATTTACACCATGCTTGCTATAATCCACAACAACATCACTTCCTCCTGCATTGTCATCATTATCCTTTATTCTGTCTTGCAATTCTTCCTTTTGTTTATCATTTACTGATTTGATTACAATCGTTACAGAAGTTTGTTCATGTTTAACATTTTCTTCAAGCATATCTTTTAAGGTGACTTCCGCTTCTACATGCTGCTCTTGGAACACAGGAAGTCCAAGGTGCTCTCTAAGGTCTGGAGGGCAAAATGGTAGGTTCAATGCATTCTGGGACTGGTTGCCCTGGAGACAGTCTGCAGCCTCACTTGGAAGTAAGAACCAGCGTAGTGGCTTTGACGCTTCATCAAACATAAGAAAATGGTCAGCTAGCTGTTGCCTAGTCTGAAATGATTAATTCTATTTTTATTTCAAGCTTAAAGTTCAGACTTGAAAATAAAACTATAATATGGATTTGTTCATCTATTCTCAACGCTGTCAGACTTGTACATGATTTTCAATCATATCTACATGTTATACTACTCATAGATCCCTACTCTGACCTTTTATTTGAACAACAATAGATTTAACCATAAACATTGATATATGCTCTTTTGATAACAAATATATTGTGCTGAAATTCTTATTGCATCTGATAATTAGAATTAAACAGGTCAGGGATATATGCATTACAAACGATATCAAACAATTTTGGTTATATAGATTTCATTATGATTATATGAAAATTTAATCAAATTCATACTTTGTCAATCAACATGATGAAAACCAAAATAACAACTACAGACCAGGTATTTTTCAATTGGGCTTTTGTTAAGTCTTGATAAAGAAACCATTATAAAGAAATATTACTGACAATTTTCATTGTCCAAAAAACATTTCAAGCATATTTGAGCTGTGTCATGACAAAAACAACATAATTGGTTTGCGACCAGAAATGGATCCAGACAAGCCTGCGCATACCGCGCAGTCTGATCAGGATCCATGCTGTTCGCTTACCAACGCTATTACAAGTAGGGAAACTGATAGCCAACAGCATGGATCCTGATCAGACTGCGCGAATGCGCAGGCTGGTCTGGATCCATGCTGGTCGCAAACCCATTATGTTGGTTTTGTCATGGCACAGCTCATTTATGTTTCATCATTATATTTCATGTAAACTTTTAACTATACTATATACATGGTGTTATTTCAATGCATCATCCTAGGAATGAATATCAACCAGTCATTCTTCTTTTGCAATTGTCCCAAAGAGGCCAGTAATCTATATAGACTTAAGAAAACATAATATTCTAGTTGTCTCCCCTTAGTCCTCAGCTGAGGTAAAACCTTTTACTGTAATAGTAATAGTGCATATTAGCATATCATATATATACTACAAGGTTAGCTTTTAAAAAAGCTAGTAGCGACTTGCTTCGTAATTTCTTCCAGGGGCGTGTTTAAATGTAAAAAATGACAGTTCTGTTAGCTGAAAAGACTTCAGCGAACATCAAAATAAAAGTTACATATAAAGTTAAGGAAGCCAGTTCTCTCACTTTAACAAAGAGGAATATGAGTATATATGAAGATGCATGTAAACAGATAGAGTGAAGTCCCTATGTCTATGCACATTTACTATATGGCCTGTTGACCTTTAACCAGAAAAAAACAAGATTGGCATTTGAAAAAAATGCTATGCCACCGCATTAATACAAACACTAAATAGTAGTGTAGGAACAGAATTTTTTTTGTTCTTTACAATTTTGAAGATTGTTCCATAAAGCATAGATCCCTGACCTATCTTATTCTTATTATCAGATAAGTGGTTAAATCTAAATGTTAACTCAATAAAAGATCAGAGTAGGAAATATATCAATGCACTCGAGTCTAGTGAATTTGGTGGTGAAGGTCCCATATTTCCACACAGCCTAAATTTCATGACTACATCAAAAGGACAACACAGTAAGACACTTGTCAAAAAATCTAGGTCAGCTGAAATCAAAGTTCACTTTACATCTTAATCTGTGCACAGGGTTCAAAATTTCATAGCTGTACATCAAAGGACAAGAAAGTAGGTCACATCAACAAAATCTAGGTCACCTGATATCAAAGTTCAATTCTACAACTAAAAAACTGTGCACATGGTCAAAATTTCATTGCTGTACATCAAAGGACAAGAAAGTAGGTCACTGTCCCCTTGGGCAAGGCAAAATTTTTGGACCCAAGGTTTAATTCAAAACAATCTTGATACAGGTCCACCAAACAACATTTCAAGTCAAATTCTAAGCTTGTAGCTTTCTCCCATTCAGAAAAACATTTGTTTTAATTTTCTGTTTTTACTATGTGTACATAATGAGAATCACTGCCCCCGGGCAGGGCCAATTTTGCCACCAGGGGAAAAATTTGAACAACTTAGTAGAGGACCTATAGATGATATTATAGTATAGCAAACATCAAAGCTCTATCCCCTTGTTCCTTCAGACAAAAATATTTTTTATTTTTTTACTAAATAGTGAAAATCAATGGACCCCTGGGGGTGGGGCTAATTTTGAACCGCCAGGCTATAATTTGTACAATCTTGATAGAGGTTCACTACATAATGTTTCCATCAAAATACTTAACTATAGTCTTTGTAAATTTAAAGAAAAATGATTTTTTTAAGTTTTTCTTTATACATAAAGGAAAACCTATGGCCCCGGTGGCCGGGGCTAATTTTTTACACTAAGAGGCAAAATTTGAACAACTTTGGTAGAGTTCCTATAGATGATATCATTTTTAACAAATATTAAAGCTCTAAGCCTTGTTCCTTCAGAAATAAGATTTTTACTATATATATATTTAAAAATCAATGACCCCTAGGAAGGGGGCAAATTTTGACAC